TATACATGTGGCCATACTCATACATGGCGTTGATTAAAGGGGGCAAAAAAAATATTAAGCTTTAAAACTAACGCCATTTTTTGTATATATTTCAGAAATTGCTAAGCCCCCCTCCTTAAATTAAAAGAGCATGGCCAAGTGTGATTAGCAATGTATTTTATTTACATATTTAAATTACTTTGGATGTTTCTTTATTTAACTACTTAGGATAACCATGCAGAAGAGTCTAAATTTTTATTTTTTAAATGATATAATTTGTTATATAATAGAGTTGTGAAGGTCTTTAAAAGCATGATATTTCAAATACTAGGTACCCAAAGAGAGAAAGAAAGCCCCCCTCTTAGGGAGTTTCTTTCTCATTTGGGTACCCCTCCGAGGGATGATCTAGAGGAAGACAATCCTATGAAGATGATCCAAAGAAAAAAGATCTGGAGGAGGACGATCCACTTGAAGATGAAATGCATTGCTTTTAAGACTTGCATCATTTAGTAGGATTATAGTCTCGGCTATTATCGGTGGGGCCTGACTACCATTATTTTCATGCATACCCTGGGTTATACTTATACAACACTTGCTGTGAACTATAGACTTTCTTTTACTTTGGGTTGATCTATATTGATATTTTTACTTTGTGTGCATAGTAGAAATTGTATGCTTTTTTTTAGGTTTCTTTCTTGCATGTGCTTAGCATAATCTCGCTAGGCTCTTTAGGAATAAAAATCTTTTTCTACTCGTAATAAAAATATAAAATTTTAATAATTAAATAACTTAGAAATCTAATAACCTAGGATATAGCCGAAACTATGGGGTTGCATGCATATTAATACATTTCTCTTGTCCCTTACTATAAGACACTCCCCGCTTGTAGGTAGAGTCTGAATAATCGCGCCTATAAAGATGAGGTGCCGAACCTGGGGAAACCCAGTCTTTTCTAAAAAAATATTTTTTATAAGCCTTTTTAAAATTTCATACATACTTGATTTAAGAACTTTTAACTAGCATGTATTACATTAAAAACCTACTAAATAAAAATTTTAAATGCATTAGCTCTAGGAACATTCACCCTATATAAGTCCAAGACCAATTAGGAAACTTTCTAGTTATAAGTTTTACTTCTAATACCTGAACTACCTACCTATTTTTCATAAAGACTGAACAGCATAGATTTTATGTGCCTAGGTGGTTAGCTGGCTTTCCTTTTCAAGTAAGATATAAGCCCAGAATGCATTAGTTAGGACATGGGTGTTAGTATTGGGTGTAGAACACTAAACCCACCTTAGATTTAGAGTTCAAGGCTACTACATTTGGTGTCTCATAGTACGCCTCATTATTGGATAAGTTTCCTTTTATTTAGGATCTATAAATCCTACATATCTATGTCACATTGATGATGTCACCTCCATCCTTTCCTTCTGTATGCTTTGAGTGCATTTCCTTCTTCTTCTCCAATTCTTTTCAGTGTCTTAGTCCATCCAAATATTGGTATGAACAGTGCATGTTAACTAAGCCCACTTGAACCCTTTCTTCACTTTGAGTAGGAACTTTCTAGTTTCTGCCCTCTTTGTCATCCCATTATGGAAAGAATAATGTCAGAACCTTAATCCAGAGTATTCTTAGGTTCCAACCTGAGATGTAATTAACCAGGGGGCTTGCGCCCATGGAAAATGAAATTCCACAACAAATAAACCCCACTTGAGCTAATATATAAGGTGAGAGAAACCCCGTGACATTGATTAGATTGTACATATTATTATCCATCAAGGTGTGTGGGTGAAAGCCACTATCCTCGTTAGTTAATCGTATGTATGATATAATCTACCCTCCATTGGCCTGCTTGTAAAGAGCGCGGAGGCCTACGATTGTCTCATCCCTTAGGATGGTGTGATCGTATCCCCTTCGCATTTTGTCTCCCGTACAGAAGATCCCTTTCGGAGGTCCATACTCCTATCTTATCCTTTATGAATTTAAGTATAAGATTGTAGTAAGACTTTAAGCTTTTATCTGATACCAATTTTTTATTATACTCACTTATTTTTTCTTATTTTTTTATTTTTTTTTCTTTTCATATTTATTTTTGTGGAGTATATAGTTAATAATTTTGAATAATAATTTTACTTAAAATATTCTTACAATCTTAATGAGTTTAATGTAAGAATTTATAATGCTATAACATCATGTTATTGTGATCCCCCAAGCAAAGAAATGAAAAAGAAATAAAATAAAAACATGCTAAAAAATAAAAGTATCATATAATATATCTCTCTGCTCAAGCAAAGAATAACTCCTAGCTAGTCTAGTATGGGTCTTCCTCTTCCACATCATCATTACCTCTCTTAGTAGGCTAATAAATAAAAGGATCATAAAATGGAGTAGATGGAAATTGAAGCTGATCATAATGCTCGACAAAAGGACTACTTCTAAACATTCCTATTATAGCATCATCAAAGTCAGCAGTGTATCTGTAATGCTTTTCTTGATGGTTCATTCTATGAGCCATCCTCATTTTCATATCAAGCTGCCAATCTTTTGAATCCTCTTATAATTATGTCACCTTTTCTATATTCCCTCTACGTTCATCTACCTGATCTCTCAGAGTCTTAGGCGTTATAGAACTCCTGTTGTTGTTATTAGACCTCTCAAATATGCTAGGCTCATTGAGGTCTTCTTCCTCCTCTTGTTCAGCTTAATTGAAGCCTAAAATCTTTCTTTTAGTAAGAGCTGTAATGGGGATTAATTATTTTTCAATTTGATCCCCCTTACTAGAAAAGAGTGCTCTAATCCAACATAAGGGGTTCCCCAATTGATGTACATGAGAGAGGAGAAAATAAGTTTTCCTATATCAAGGGAATACCCCATTTGAATATCATAATTTAAAAGGGCATGATTATGGGTAACTTCATTAATTTTTCTACTGTACAATAAACAAGCTAAGATAAAATAGTTCCAGGCCATAGGGGTTTGGGTCAGGTAGGTGGAAAGAAAATTGATAATTTTATTTTCTCTCTTTTTACAACTAGCTCTATTATTAGTTCCACCCAGTATATTTAGAATATCTTGAGGATCTAATGGTGTCCCAATAAAAATTGGGTATTCATCAAATTCAAAGTCCTTAAATTTGTAAATTTTGTTTATAGCCATAGATCAAAAGGGACCCACTTACTCTTAATATAAAATTTATTTTACACATCCTTTTTCCATCTACAAAAATTCTCTAACTACATTAATGATTGTAGTAAAAGGCTCTTCACAAAAATGCTCTCAAACTCTACTGACAGTGATTTGGTAACTAGGACTATGAAAGCCCCTATCTAGTATTAGTTTTTTGGTCACAACTAAATCAACAAATCTAGATTTGACATTAATAGATATAAGTCTACTTGTATCATAAGAGGAAGAAGCCCTCTTCTTTCCAAATGTCTTAAGGGCCATCAAACTAGAGTAGATTAGAAAGGAGAAGTGTTTGAAGAATCATTTATGCTATGAATGAAAAGAAAAATGAACCCCCTCCCAATTTTATAACTTAGTTGAGTGTTGTGGCACTGCAGGAAATGGTGTTGTCGCGCTCAATCGATAAATAAAATGACAAAGTAATCAAACTAACAAAATATTATAGTAGTCCAGGCCATGAAGCGTAGTAGGGTTGATTTTAAAAAATTGAAGTGTTTAACACGTGTAGGCACAACGACATTTGTGTCATTAACCACCGTGATTCTATTAATGAAATAATAATGAAATTGCAAGTGGCATCATGGAGCCATTTACCAACACTGCAATACTTACCAAAGTTTAATAATTAAAGTTATGGTGGTACTTAACCATGCTTTTGTCTTGAGTAACTAATCACTGTTGTGCTAATATAATCAGTGCAACAGTGCTTGATTAACAAGAAAATTATGGTTCAAAATGAGCATTACTTGAGGTTTAATACTGTTTTACCAACTTTCAAAGTAATAGCATTTAGGAGAGTAACACTATGGCATTTAATCACACAGTTTTGCGATGCTAACTTAAATTATTGCTCATTCTTATTTATTAAATTTTAATTATAACTTTAATCATTAAAATAAACAAAATGCAAAATATGCTAAAAATAATAACATATGAAATATGACACAAGTAAATTCAAGCAAATAACATGTCACTAAATATAAATTTAGATTACCTCCCATATAATGCTAAGTTTATTGTCTTCAGCTAGACTTGTCTAGATTTATCAATTTGGTTTTGATATATTGCTACCAATCCTCGAATAATTATCACTTGAATCATTTTCCATTTATTTAACTGCAGTACTACTTGAAAATGATCCAAGAGGTTTACTACTGTTAAAAATTGCAAGTAAGCTTAATTAGGTTTCCAAATTTTTAATAAAAGTAGCTTAATTTTATATTTGAGTTTCTAATTACATCACTATATCTTCCAATGGCAATTTTTAACTTCCAAACTAATTGCTTTGATTAAATCCAAGATTATATACATGTTTAGAATTAACAACAGATTGTTAATCATTATTCCAATTTACTCCTTGATTATTTTGACTAGAATTTAATTAATTATTCCCATTAATATTATTTGAAACTTGGATGGTTTTGCCAACCTAGATTATATGTGTTGGAATAAGAATTATTTTATCTTCCAATCAAATTAATATTTTTAATCTCTTGGTCATTATTAATTTTAATTAACTTTTGATCATCCAATTATATAAATAATTAAGTTTTAAATTTTGTACTTCTCCTATTATACTTAACTTCTCAGAAATGGTTGCAGCTTATGCAGTCAAAATTGACAAATCATCATATTTATATACTCATACTACTCTCTTAGAATTTATCCTATTAACAGGCCACTATAAATTATTAGTATTCATTTTCTCTATTAATTCATATGCTTCCTTAAATAGCTTAGATATTAAAGATCCTTCATCTATAACATCTATGATTGCTCTAGGAGATCCCACTAATCCATTATAAAATGTTTGAATAACTAACCAATCATGTAAAGTATGGTGAGGGTATTTCCTAAGTATTTGCTTAAATCTCTCCCAACTCTCATAAATCAATTCTCCTTCAAATTGGGTAAAACAAGTTATATCATTTCTAAGTTTAGTAGTATTTGAAGGTGAGAAATACTTATCAAGATACTTATGATGCAACTCATTACAAATGATTATAGAGTTTATGTTAAAGAATTTAATGATATCTTAGCTTTATCTCTTGGAGAAAATGAGAATTATCTGAGTTTAATAGCATCATCACTAACAACATTATACTGAAATGTTACATAAATTTCTAAAAAATTGGCTATGTATAAATTGGGATCTTCAATAGGAGATTCTCAAAACTAGAAATTTTGAACCATTTAAATTATGACATGTTTTAATTCAAAATTATTAGTTTGGATCAAAGGTTTATTAATGCTCTGATTAATTTTATCTACTAAAGGGTAGAATAATACCTAAGTGATCTAGATTGATCTTGATTTAATACAGGTTGAGCCAATTTCTCTAACTATTTAGTTTTTCAAGTTTTTTAAAGGGTTCTTTCTATTTTAGTGCCAAAAAATAAAAGTTTCTTTTTATGTCTATAAAGTATGCAACTAAGAATATGCAATTAGTAAATAAAATAAAATATATAAGTAGATCAAATTATATAATTAATTCAACAATTTAGTTAAAATTTACAAAAAGTAAATACTTCTTTGGCAATAGTGCTAAAAACTTGATGGAGGCTATGGAGTGAACTTTTGAATTATATAAAAATCTTGGGCTCTATCACCCCTAAATAATGCTTAGGTTTTCTTTGATATAAAAATAATAAACTCCACTTAATATACGTAAGTATACGTGTTAGATCAAATTACAAAGTGATAGAGTAGAGTGTCGAACCCATAAGGAAGTATACTTTATTGCACTAAACTACAACTAGTTACTCTAATTGTAATAATTATCATACTAAAATAAAAAAGATATTTTTGGAGGTTCTTTTACTAAATAAAATAATAAAATATTTGATAAAATATTTAATCTATGTATTTTGGATTAATGAATTTAAATTATATATTATTTTCTAATGAAAGTTTTCATGGTAATGTGATTAAGAGAATATACATTTCTAAATCTCTATGGAGCTTATAGAGGTGAAAAAGATATATGTTGATCTTATACAGTAATAATATCTCCTCAAAAACTAAGAATATTTTACATCTTATGTCTAGGCATACAAACATCTTATCTCAATACTCCTATTGGTTGTTCTTACATTCCTCCATCAAAGTTATACATCACACTAAATTTTAATTACATATATGGCCACTATATATATTAAGTAAAGAGCATGATAATATTAAAAAGATATTTTAATAGTTATAGAACAAGTTTCTTCACTAGTACTCAACATGCATTTTACTTCATGAATCCAAAATAAAAGAATTAGTCAGCTATATAATAGATAACAAGCAAACTCATAGTTATTAAAATCTTGGAAGAATAAAAATACAAGATAATAATATCACCAAGAAGGATTAAAGTATCTCCTCTACACTCCTTGTCCCTTTAAATTATAGAGTTGTATCAAGAAACATAGGCTAAACACTCTAAATGATTGTATCTTATACATTCCTAGCCTCTCTTAGATTTTACTCAAAGAGGGAACTAGAGAAGTACTATAAAAAGTATTGAAATTTATATAAGTAACTAAACTCTCCTAAAAATATAATATCATAACTATTTATAGAAAAATATATAAAGGTATCTAGTGTTGCAACACTTGAAATAGTGGCAACGTGGCGCTCTTGAAGTGAATTAGTGTCTCCATGCTGAAACTTTTACACCGCCATAGTGCTGGCTAATGTCGATCACTTATTTGATGAATAATCGCATCTCTTCACTAATAGAATGTGGTCTTGAAAGTTATAACTGCATTAGAGCACTCCGGTGCCCAAGTACAAAAATTAGCACCAAGGCATGAGAAATTATAGCGCCATAGCATTTTAAAAAAGTGAATCTTGTACCACCAAGCTAACTTTCTAACGCTACTGCACTGATAATGCTACAACACTATCTATGTTGTTGTTATGGTGCTTGTAAATAAAGAGCTCGACATTGCAATATTATAATTATGGCGTCTCAGCCGTATTAAAGGTAGCCCCATAGTGTTGTTTCATCTGATGCTGTGGCACTATAATCTCCTTAAAATTTTTGTTATTATTAAGTTTTTCCTGTATAAAAATAATTTAAAAACATTTTGACTAAAATAAAATATAAAATATTATATAATTTATACTTATCAATAATGCATATATGCATTGATTATAGAGAGTTGAATAAATTCAATATCATGAATAAGTATACTCTGTCACATATTAATGATCTATTTGATCAACTTATTTGATCTTCTATATTTTCAAAAATTGATATATGACCTGGATACTATCAGGTGAAGGTGAAAGAGGCTGATGTGATGAAGATGGCTTTAGTATAAGGTACAAACACTATGAGTTCTTAGTCATGCCATTTGGGGTGATGAATGCACTAGTCATCTCTATAGATCTAATGAAAAGAGTGTTCAAATATTTTCAAGATCAATTTGTGATAATTTTCATCAATGATGTTTTAAATTATTCTGCTTCTGAGGAAGATCATGTCAGACATTTGAGGATTATTTTAAAGACTTTGAGGTAGCATCAATTATATGCAAAATTCTCCAAATATGAGTTTTGGTTGAAGAGTTACTTTTTTAGGGCATATGGTGAGAAGTAATAATATTTCTATAGATCCCTGTAAAGTTCAGGAAGTCACATATTGGTCGAGGTCTACTATTGTATTTGAGGTATGTAATTTCATGAATATAATTAGATATTATTGGAAGTTTGTGAAGGAATTTTCTCAAAATTTTGCACCTCTAACGAGTATGACTTATAAGTAAGTAGCTTTTATCTAGTCACTAAAGTGTGAGGCTAATTTTATAGATGGAAGGATTGTTTAACTTTTGCTCCAATTTTGGCTCTTCTATCTAGTACAAAAGGATTTCAAGTATTTAGTGATGCTTCATTAAGAGATTTAGAGTGTGTTTTGATATAGTATGGTAGAGTTATAGCTTATGCTTTCAAGTAGTTAAAGCCACCGAAGAAATATCTGATGTATGATCTAGAGTTAGCTATTTATGTATTTACTTTGAAGATTTAGCGGCATTACTTGTACAGTGTGATATATGAGATTTTCATTGGTCATCAGAGTCTAAACTACATATTCACATATAAGTATTTGAACCTAGTGTAAAGGAAATGTATTGAGTTAATAAAAGACTATGATCTAAAAATAAGTATTAGCTTGGTAAGGCTAATATCGTGGCAGATGTTCTAAATAAGAAGCTTCTAAATTATTATGTATACAACTCACTTTTGATGTGTATTTAATATGTGATATGGAGAGATTACAATTAGAGGCAATTTCTTCTAGTTATTAGAATTATATTATATTTGCTCAGATGACTATTCAACCTTTTTATAAGAAAAGATTCAGAAAGCTTAGAAGTCAGATGTAGAGTAATAAAAGTTGATTGAGCATATCAGATCTGGTAAGAAATTTGAACTTTGAGTTTCAGCTTCTAATTTAATTTTTTTCAATGATAGACTGTGGGTTTTTAATTTTGGAGATTTGAGACAAAATATTTTGTATGATGCTCACTATTTAGGCTATACAATTCATCCAAGAAGGAGAAATATGTATGGAGATTTGAAGGGTGTGTTTTGGTGGTTTTGATTGAAGAAGAATGTAGAGGAATTTATTTTGAAGCCTGAGTTGTGTATGTTAGTGAAGTCAAAGCTGAAAGTTCATTAAGGATGTTAAGCCCGTATGAACTAGCCCAAGGCTAACCAAGAGGTGGGGGGTGAATTGATATTTTAAAAATTTCTCAATAAAAAATACCAACTTAAACTAAACAAAAATTAAACACAAAGAAAATGAAGTGCATAAATTAAATGTAAAAAATAGTAATAAATAATATAAAAATTTATAGTGGTTCAATCAACTTGACCTACATCTACTCCCCGGAGCCTCTCCTCCGGGTATTGCACTAAACTCAGTGACTCTCCTTTTTCTCCCATAGCAAGGCGGAGAAGCCTGTACAAACCTCCTTTCCACTAACACTAGTAAGGGAGAGAACCCGACTCCTTTTGCTTCCTTCTAAAGCAGGCAGATAATCCGACTCCTTTCGCTTCCTCCTGAAGCAGGTAGAGAATATCGATCAATTGTTGAAGTAAATCTCTCTCGAACCTCCAAGGAACCAGTGACGACGACTAGAGAAGATGACTTAGATCCTTGCATGGAGCAACCTTTATAAAACTCCTCACAAACTTCACCTCATAAGATCCTCTCTTTCTCTCCCTTACTCTCCCTCTCCTCTTGGCTCTCTTAGGTCAAGACAGTAGTAAAAGATGCACTCTTGGGTAAAATAAGAGGTCTTATATAGAATAGCTTCATATTTACTCTTAATTATAACAAACCAGCATTATCATCCAGGATGATCAGTCGATCGTCCTGTATGATCAGTACAAATTCAGCTCAATCAGCCAGGATGATTTGGGAGAGTCTAGATGATCAGAAGGTTAATTTGTTCATATCATCCAGGATGATAGTATATCATCCTGTACGATTAGTTCAAGTCATCGAATATCATTCAGACCATTTCCCTAGATGGAGGTCTGGATGATAAAAAAGTAACTTGATCATCTAGGATGATCTCATGATCGTTTAGGCTGATTAGTACAAAATGTCACATATCATCCAGAATATTGCCCTGATGGATGTCTGGACGAAAAAAAATTAACTAGATCTTTTAGGCCGATCTCACCATCATCTTGGATGATTAGTTCAAAACCTCACATATCATCCATAACATCACCTTAAATGGAGCTAGGCCAATTATGGATCATCCATGAAGAACTAAGGTTTGTTTAACTGATCTTCCCAGACGATCCTGAGATCACCTAAGACGATATGATCGAGCAATCAAACCTTAATTGATTTTTTGAATTACTAGAGTAATTTAGGCATAATTGCACTACATCATCTATGATGATGTCCAAAAATAAAACATTCCTAAATAG